GACTGCTTGTATACAATTTTTTGACAAAACAAGAGATCAAATGTCCACGAAAATTAGTACCCACAGAAATAAAAGAATCCACAGCGGGTACATGTATAGACGTAAATAATACAAATTAAATACAAACGTTATATTTATATTTAGAGGAAACAGTATAATAATAGAAAATAACAGACCTCGATACGAAGTAATGTAAATGCTGAAAATTAATCATCTTATTTCGCATTTTCAAAGTTGTAAGTAGATATAAGAAGATGTGGTATGAGTGCCAATGAGACAACTCTCCATCCAAGTCAAAATTTATAAAAGTAAACCATTATAGATCAAAGTACGGTCTTCAACACGGAGCCTTGGCTCACACCGAACAGCAAGCTATAAAGGGCCCCAAACATTACTAGTGTAAAACCATTCCAACGGGAAAACCAACGATCTAATCTATATAAAAAACGAGAAACGAGACACACTTATGAACCACATCAACAAACGACAACTTCTGAACATTAAATTCCTGACTTAGGACAGGTGCAAAATATTGCAGCGGGTTTAAACGTTTAAGTGGTACCAAACCTTCACCCTTATCTGAAACATTAGTGTAACATCACAACATAGAAAGACACACTATAAAATATCAATTGAAATGGCTTAACTCAATCAAAAGACATATTAAAACCAGTGAACATACACTGAACAAATAAATTTGATCTATGATTCAATGTAAATACAAAATAAATAAACTAAGGGAAGAATAATTAAAGTAACATGTTATACCACTGTGAAATGTTAAACAATTTAAGAAAAACAATATGCCTGAACAAAAATATCAGCCATTTGCAATTACTTTAAACACAGGTAAATGAAAATAATTTTTTTTGTTAGGTATACGTGTACAGTTCAAATGAACAAGGAAATATTTTTACAAAATAAATAATTTTGATGTTCAAAGTACGAAGAAGTGAAATTTTTTTAGTAATACCAAACACTTATCAAAGCTGGTATATAGACCCGATATAACCCTGAATAAGTAAACATTAAATAACAAAAAAACATTACAATTAGTATCAACAGGTCAAATAAACAAGAAAAAACGATTTGAGAGTACTCGCAGTTACTACATGTAACAGCTAGTTAAAAGCCAAAAACAATTAATAATAAAAAATCATGCATCAGAGACTAAAATCAACTAAAACACATCCTAGGGATTTAGTATTTTAACGTCATGGACAGACAAAGAAAACATGACTTGTGCAATGCCAAAATTAAATGAATCGACAGGCAGTAGGATAGTTAGGAGTTAACCTCTTTATAGATCAAAATGAACGTGGGTGTGTCTTTATACATCCCGTTTGAAAAGAATACAAATTTAGTTATGTTTTAATTTGCTGATGACAAAATCGATATTAGTGCCAATGTAAACTATATTCAAAGATCTAATTACAACATTGGTAAGATAACCTTTACTAATAAGTTTGTTAAAAGGTTCGATGAGTTTACACGGATTACATAGTGATTTCCGCGCTTTAAGTACAATATTACCGTATAATTTAGGATGTGAAATACCGTTTTTAATCAGTTTTCTACAGGTACAGCCAAATTTACTAATCAAATCTTTGTATCTATGAAAGAATTTAGCAAAAGTTTTACGTAATTTATGGTAACGAAATCCCTGACTTAATAATTTACCAGTGATGCATTGATTACGTTCGTTAAAATCTATGACATCACTACACCGACGGGCATAACGAACGAGTCGGGATATATAAACACCGTATGATGGAGCCAAAGGAACATCGCGTCTAAAAAAGGAAAATTAACAATATTGAATGAAAAGTCGTCTCTTTTTGTACGGAGTTTCCATTTAGAGATTGAAATGTCCAAATCTAGAAAAGGACAACTACTGCTGTTTATGTTAGATTTAGTTAAAGTAAGTTCTTTTGGGTAAATTTCTGTAGTATATTTAGAGAACTCTGGATTATTTAACGCAAAAATATCATCCAGATAACGGAAGGTATTGTTGAATGTATCAACCAAATGTAACAATGACGTGTCTTTACTGAGTTTGGTCATAAACTAAGATTCATAGCAATACAGGGATAAATCTGCTATTAAAGGGGCGCAGTTAGTGCCCATAAGAATACCTACTACTTGTCGATACACTTTATCGCCGAAACGTACATATATGTTGTCCAGGAGAAAATTTAAAGCTTCAATCATATCTTCACATTTCCAGTAAGTGTATCTACAGAAAAAGTGTATCGTTACAGAAAAAGGCTTTAAACGAGTTACAGCAAATAAATTTGTAATGAGATTTTTCAAAAGACCATTTAATTAAATATGAAAACTTTTTCTTGATAAGATTGTGTGAAAGTGTAGTATAGTGAGTAGAAAAATCATAACTGTCAACAGAATTAAAAGGACCATCAAAAGCATGTATTTTATCTAAAACATCTAAAGAATTTTTAACACTCCAAAAGTAATTAATACCATTATTTTCATAAGCTTTATTACAAAAGTTAATAACAAGTTCTTTGATAGTAGTAAGGGAGGTAGTTAGAAGCACTGATAGATTAGTAGTAGAACACTTACTAGATGCGGAGATGAAACGGAATTTCAATGTTTTTTTGTGCAATTTAGGTAACCAGTACATAGTAGGGACTTTCAAATGTTCGGAAGAGGCTTTAAGCTGGGTAGTGGCAGTGATATTCTTGTTTACAATTTGACTCTCTGTGGAGCGTATGGACCTGAATGTAGAAGAATTTGTAATTTCGGTTTGGAGAACTTCCGTGTAGTATATGCGTCACACCACCACTACATTCATTGCTGCTTTGTCTGCCGGTACGAACACAAACCGCTTTGCGAGTACTTGGAGTTTATTCTTTATTCTAGAAATGGGAATATCATGGACTCTATTACTAATTTCAGAATTGTTTTAAAAATGAGATATACGAATATTAACAGTATTCATAATTTTATTCAAATAACTGTCTAGAGATTTTATCAGATTTTTCACGTTTACACCAATTTTTACAGTAGACAGACATAGCGTCTTTAATGACCTGACGACACTGTTTCCAATCTATTTTAGATGGAGGACGATATTTCGGTCCTTTCTTAAGAAAAGTTATGACCTCACGGTCTTCGACGATGTTGAGGTCTCCTGTAAGGACATGACCACAGGGAACATATCTAAAACTAGATTTTTCACAGCCTCAAGTGGAAGGAACATTATTTTCTATATTGACGTCTGATGTTACTGACGTATAATTAAAAATCAAACTTCTGCTGTTTTTTTTTATAAGAATACGAAATAATAGGTGGTTCTATATTAACAAGATATGGAGGTATTTGACTTTGGATGGTAGAGTCATTGAATATACTAGATAAGTTAATAAAATCAATACCTCTATTTATATATTTTGATTTAAGAAAATGCCGTTTATGATTTTCAGGTTTATTGATACTAGGAAATAGCATATGATGACAAAAGGCTGTAATAATACGGGTGTATTCATAAAGAAATTTATCACACTCCAGAAAAATAGCATATAATTTACTTATTGGTATCTGACCCATTTTGCATAATACTTGATGTCTGCCATTAATTTTTATTATAGATAACAGATCAGCAAGTGTATAATGTATACGATGTTTAATACGTTGATTACGGTTTTTGCGTTTGCCATGAGACCTTTTATTTCTAAGTCGTTTATCGACAATATTAATGACATCGATTGAAGTTTTAGTTATGTTCCCCTGTCCTTATATTTTGTCATTAAGACCGAGAGGATAAGCTGTTTGAAGTCTTTTTATTCAAAATAATTCGCGAACTTCACGTGATTTTTCAAATTGCTTGTGTGATTCTCCTGGTTGTTTCTGAGATTCGTAATTTGCGTTTATAACTGTAATTATAATGATGATTCTTTTTTATATTGATTCTTTTTCGAAATTACAAATAAAAAATATGAAAAAAAGGAAAGACTATAACACAAATTTTCTGACAATTTATTAATAATTTGGGTTTTTATTGTTAAATAAATAATTGAGAACAAATAAGACGATACTGATCTTTCGTCTTTGCTATTTTGTTTTTGTTTTTTGAAAATGATAATTAATTTATAAGTCTAAAGCTGTTACAATTACCTTATTGATACAGCTTTCATGAACAAGGTACCCTGCTATCTTAATATCTTAAAGAACAGGGTGTCTTAAAGTTAAAGATTTACTTCATAATTGTTGATTAATTACATACTTAAAATTGAGAATGGAAATGGGGAATGTGTCAAAGAGACAACAACCCGACCATAGAACAGACAACAGCAGAAGGTCACCAACAGGTCTTCAATGCAGCGAGAAATTTCCGCACCCGGAGGCGTCCTTCAGCTGGCCCCTAAACAAATATATTTACTAGTTCAGTGATAATGAACGCCATACTAAACTCCAAATTGTACACAAGAAACACAATACATACATACATAAATGTAAATCATTCAAATTAGTAGTTACGTATTTTTTGTTCCGGATTACACCTTTACTCTTCCATTCTTATACAGTCTACCATACATACTTAACTCCTTTAGAAAAAAATGTGCGTGTGTCTAGTGTGATCCAATAATCATAGACTGGACAAGACTGAAGATATAGTGTTTATGTTGATTTTATTAATTTGAATTATAATCAAAAGGTCAGATAAAGTATGTTTATTGTTATCGAAATAAAGTTTTTAATTTTCTTTCATAATGTTTCGAAAATTTTGTGTTACGATTGTTGTAAAATAAGTGTAATTTAAGGGTCTTTTTAACAGATGGAAGGGGGTCAATTTTAAATTTGCATGTATTGTATCTCTTTTTAAAGATACATCATTTATCATTCTAGACGTTGTGTATCACAACTAGTCTTTACCATTTTTAACACATAACCTTCGGAAACTTCTCCAATTGAAAGATGAAAGTATCGCATAAAAACCTCCCGTAAAAAGCGTAGTTTACATATTTTAATCGTTTGTGTGAAGTAATTTCAATTTATTAGTTATTTATTATTTAACAAATGATAGTAAAAATACTCTGGATTCTTTAATTTTTGTGAGTGCCAATTTTCGTGGATGCAGGAAAACAAAATTCGTGGATATTTGTTTACCAAGTTTTCATCAATTCAGCAAATAAGCCATAGCAAATGTGTTCTTTTTTAATAAACCTATACCCACGAAAATGTGTATCCCACGAATGATAATGAATTCACAATATAATGTAAAAGTAAATATATACTATTGTTCACACTAAATTATCAGGTGATTCAGTTAATAATTCAGTGATGGAGGATTAATTCCCTTTTCCAAGTTCATGTAAAACTTGGTGGGGATGAACAACCTGGTCGAATTTCGTCTCAAAACCATAGAACTGGACTCCAATGAATTTGCCAGTTTTTATTTCTTTATGAGTACCCTCATCTCCTCGAGTGAAAACAGCTGTGAATGGAACAATGAAATGTCCTTCCGTAAGTGTTGATGTTAATTTTATCCTAAAAAAAAATATTGCAGATAATACAACATTTTACTTCTCATAATTTTTGCATTAACAATACATGATATGATCTGTATAGATCACTGCATAAAATGTTATAATAACCTATTGTAGTTGTGCTCATATTTTTGTAAATTGCAGACTAATATGTCATGGTGGATTTTTCCATATCGACCCGTTTGTCATCTCGAAACTCCAATACAATCCGATGCAATAGATCATTGGTCTGTTTTATGATGAATAATGATAGCCTGGCCAATATGGAAAAAGCCATTATAATCTATTCATCACACACTTCCCATTCAGGCTCTGTGTGACTACAAGTAGTGAAACAGCAACATACTGATACCTTATATGTTGTGAATCAATGGAATTACCAGAAAAATATAGAAATGAATACGTGTGTGCCATACGAATATACTATAAGTTATACGGATCCATAGAGGGTTAGTAAAATCCATAGGGGTGAGGCCGAAGGCCGAATCTCCTATGGATATTACTCACCCCGTATGGTCCGTAGGGGGTCAGTAGTGAACCGTATAACGAATTTATCGCACACGTCATGAATCCCCTATGAAATTTACTAACACCCTACGGATCCATAGGGGGTCACCACGTGACGGCATTTAACCAATCACAACGTCATAATTTACCCGCAGTGCAAAATAATTAAAATTATGACGGTTTAAGGTAGACAGCGTTTCACAACTGATATTGAAAATCAGAGATTGATAAACAATGAAATGCTTTGATCAAATCTTTCTTTGATCCAGGGAAAATATTGAATATAATTCAAAAAGTTCTTCGCAGTTGACTTCTCGTTTGAAACCTTAATAATAGTTAAGCCCGTTTATCAACAAAACGTCGAGCAAAAGACGGACATTTTCCCGATGTCTGACATTTATTTTTTACGTCATTAGATATCATTCGAAATCGCAATCAAGTAAACGTGTTTTTTTTTATTTTCTAGAAACGTTGTTCATGTATAGAAATGTTAAAAAACTAATAACATATGTCGGACTCGGAGGTATGATGGGGACGTTGAAGTGCGATGGCAACGCTGAAGTGAGAAGGTCTGTTCGCTGATATGCGATGGTCTATATAACACGTGATGGCTAGTTTAAAATTGCAGATTATCAATTATTAGGTCTATGAGAAATAGATTGTTCTAATGTTTAGTTTATAAATTTGCATTCATTTTTGTCTATGTAAGTTCTACAGTTGCATACCAAATTAAGGATCGTCCTCTTAAATTTTCTACATTGAACATCATTCTGCGTTAACATTTTATATTTATTTGGTTTCTCTCATGAGTTTCTCGTTTACCGTAATATTTTAATACGGAGATTCTGTCTGCCCACCCCCACTTGTACATATTTAAAGAATACCACGCTCCTTCGTATGTAAAAAAAAAAATGGAGATTTCAAAAATAATTTCTTACAGAAGGTTGACATTTCCTTCTCCACCAATTATTCCCCGTTTACCTTAGTGTTAAAAGTTTATAAGGCCCTTATTAACAAAAAAATACCAGCGGAAAAAGAAGAAAAAGGATAATTCTAGCTTCTTTTAATTTTCTTTAGAAAATCCTGTATGTAGTCAGCCTCATATAAATAAAGGAAGAGGTCTGTAAAAAGAAGAGCACTGTTGGTTCCCATGGGAATGCCAATAGTTTGTTGAAAAAAAAACTTCCCCCAAACGTAGCAAATATGTTGTCAATAAAGAAATCAGGCATCTTGATAACGTCAATTTCAGAAAACGTTTTGTTTGAATCGGAGTTATTTTTCAGACTACGATTTACATGTAAAACCAGATATTTGCATCTACGGTTGCCATTGTTTTTTTTATGAAAAACAAAGAAGGACTGGTTCTTTCAATACGTCTTTCAATTTGGGGAATACTTGTGTAAAGGTAGAAAAGTCAAATGTGTTTATACTATTACACAACAAATTGAACATTTACAGGAACAAAATGAAATGCCAAAGTTTTCAAGAACCAAATAATGCTAACCAAACCAGATAAAAAGTCAAAAGGAATAAATATACAAATAAATAACGATATAAATATGAAATAAGTAGTAAAACTTGGCTCTGGAGTACAAACAAAACAAAAAGAAAATAACAAAGAAAAAAACGGTAAACGAAAAATCGGGAAATAACACAATAATGTATTTAAAATTCAATTGTAATCACGACATCTAGAATATATTTAATGTTAATTAATGTCAATCATATTCAAGCAGAGTTTTAAGGAGGTGGTTAATATCTAGAAAGATATATTGAGAAACATGACTATTGAAGAAGGGAGAATCGTCTAATCTATATAAAGTTCTGACATAATTTTTAAATGTTAACCTATACATACGTGCTTTCCGCTGGAATTGCGCTTGGGTATTCAGCTGTCCAATTTTGGGTTTCAGATACCGATTGTTTTTCAGTAGTCCCAATATTTACCATTTTTTCTACGCTGATGCCTAATTTTGCTTCAACTCCGATCTGAGGGATGCCAGCTGTTACCTCTAGAGAAGCTACAAATACAAATTAACAGGCATATTAGATCTGAAACATTGCTCTTTGCATTCAGTCTCATTTAAATTTCCCAATCTAATGTAAGGCGCAGATTGTAAATGTAACTATGTTTTTTACATCACAATGTTATAAATGGCGATTATTAGGAATTTCGAAAGAGGTTCGCGGATGGATAAAAAAGAAAATCATATTTCATGTTGTTTATAGAGCAGTCAATTCATATACGATCCATGTTAAACACCGATCCTTTAAATAACATTCTCCTGACAGGTTATCAATTTAAAATCTAAAAATATTGTTTTATTGGTACAAACAATGATTGTAATTTTGAAAAATTACAACATCACTAAATATTTTTTGCTATACTTGTACAGTTAAGAGACAGTACTTATGATACTACATCCTGTCGATAATGTTACTAGTAACTCATATTTTGGCATTTCACAGGGACACGTGTTTCTCAGACTGTGTATGACGTATTCATACTACATCCGTTTGATATTTAAGGATTAATACTTATGTCTGGGAGAACATGATTTACCCATTAGCTATTATTGGCTGTGAAGTAGCTTTCAGTACCTTGGAGTACTCCAATATCGGTGTTTTAATGTTAGTTGTTTTTGTGCTTCGTACTGATCTGTTGATTTAAGACATTTGCAATTAATTTTTACAGTGTGATCTTATGTTGTGGTTTTACACAACAGGCAAATGATAAAAAGGGGGGAGGATGGGCGCCCACAAACATGTTTAACTCCGTTACATTCTTTATGTGCCTGTCCTACACCAGGAGCCTGTAATTCAGTGGTTATCGTTGGTTCATGTTTGTCTAATTTGTTTTTCGTTAATTGTATTGTTGTATATTAGGCCGTTAGTTTTCTCGTTTTTTATAGCGGTATTGGGTATGCTCGTTGTTGAAGGCCACACTTTGACCCTGAATTGCTTGTATCCACGTCATTTGAATTTTTGTCAATAGTATCTCATTGGAAGTCATACCACATGTCCTAATTTATCCTACTATTCAACCATACCAAATCTATTGATAATTATCGAAAATAATCTAGTATTTTCTATGTTTGATTAAGGAGGTCATATAAGCTATACATACTTAAAATGAGATCTTAAAAAACAATAGATCCGCAAATTTGTATCTTGTTTAATATGTAACCATTGCATTAGAAAATTGTATTTAAAACAGACGGAGGATACCGTGGTGAGATTAAAAACACGCAATTCGAAGTGAAACTGTAAACGCCTCGCCAAAAATAGAAAACATACGAACAGACCAACAAATACACAAAACAATACACAGAAATGTAAAGACTAAGAACAACCAACCGTACATTGGGGTGATCTCAGGTGCACGGAAGAATAGACAGACCCAACTCCACATGTGACACCCGTAATGTTGATTATGTTAACTACAGTCTCAATCGGAGATGTCTTAATTGAGAAAGAGAGGACGAGATTATGATAACAATTGAAAAATATCCGTGGACATATGCGACATGGATATTACATAAAGGTAAAAAAAAAACCGCTATGACGTCCGTAAAATTTTCGAAGGGATGAATTCGACTTATCTAACTTGCTATATAGATATACATACATATACATGTATGTTGTGGCGACTATTTCCCTTTTTCTCCCGATTCAGTTGTGAAAAGTAATATGCTTCGGACAAAGCAGTATACATCTGACCTAACTGTTTATGATTCCACTACTATGGTTGTTGCACTAATTGATACTGTTAATAAGTGAAACAAAATTAAAAAAAAAATGTAGTAATTCCAATCGAAAAACTCAATCAAATAGGAATACGTGAATCCCTTCACGAAGTCAAAAATCTCCGTTAATGAAGAAACTAAAACGGTTAGAAAGGCCATTTTGTATCTTTGATGCAGGTAACTATTTTTATATTCTCATCATTTTTCTATTTCTTTTTGAAATATTGAAAATGTAGTTGGAATGCGTAAAATGTTTTTATGATCAAAACAACGAAAAGGATGACGGTAATAGGATTTTAATAGCCAGTTGTTACTTATTGTAAACCTAATATGACGCAGGTTTCTTCAAAAGTGATGATTTTCTAAAAATTATTTGACATTTCACAGTGATATCATACTTTAACTTTGTTTAAACCTGTTTATTTACTTTTGACTTTAATTATTTATCCCTTGTAATTTTTTATCAACTGTGTATTTGCATTCAGGTGTCACAGGTCAAATTTATTCGTTCATTGTGTGTTTATTTACGTTTTTAGATTGAGTTAAGCCTTCCAATTGATATTTTATAGTGTGTTTTTCTATGTTGTGATGTTATACTATTGTTTCAGAAAAGGGAGAAGGTTTGGTACCATTAAAACGTTTAATCCCGCTGCAAATGTTTGCACCTGTCCTAAGTCAGGAATCTGATTACAGTAGTTGTCGTCTGTTTATGTGGTTCATACGTGTTTCTCGTTTCTCGTTTTTATATAGATTAGACCGTTGGTTTTTCCGTTTGAATGGTTTTACACTAGTAATTTTTTGGGGCCCTTTATAGCTTGCTGTTTGGTGTGAGCCAATGCTTCGTGTTGAAGGCCGTACCTTGACCTATAATGGTTTACTTTTATAAATTGTTACTTGAATGGAGAGTTGTCTCATTGGCACTCATACCACATCTTCCTATATCTATCTACTAGCTGTTTACTACCACCAATTTACAAAACCTATGTAAAAATTTTTGACTTATGTATATATATGAGGCAAATGATGGAAGATTGCTTTGTCAAAGCATTTAAAACTGCACACCAATGAATGACTTATATCTGATATGCTAAGTTTTTTTAAAGCTAACGATAATTGTAAAGACGGGGTGCCGACAAATCTGTACTGATGCCAATTGAGCACAATTGTTGTTTTGTTCAAATTGAATTGATCTATAAGGTTCAACAAATGATAAAATGTAAAGTTTCAATCAACATGATGATGTTTATTGTGTTATTGTGCTATGGTAATTTTTGAATTCTTGTCTTTCATTTTTGCTTGATGTACTTTGTCTATGGAGTGTCTTTATGCCATTTTGTTTTTCTTCGTTAAAAAAGTTATATGTTTTTAAAGTGATTAAGACTATAACTCAATGTTGACTGCTGTACCCCAATTTTCGAAATTTTTGCCTATTGTGTCTGTTTGTTTTGCTCACACATTGTTGTCAATATAATGGAATTCTATGCAACTGTTATACAAGTGAGAGGTTTAGCTAGCTATAAAACCAGGTTAAATCCACCATTTTCTACATAAGGAAATGCATACTGTACAGGAATATGACAGTTGTTTTCCATTCGTTTGGTGTGTTCGAACTTTTGATTTTGCAATTTGATATAGGAAATTCCGTTTTGAATTTTTATTGAAATTCGGTATTTTGGTTATTTTACTTGGATGCTTAATGGTTTGAAATACCATCAGCGTGTTATATCCTTTCAACATATCTTGCTGAGGTGACAGGTTACTTTTTTTGGTGAAAACATTTACAATGTTACCTAACATGATCTCACTCATAAAGTTTAGCTTAAATACTTGGTGTTACTATCTGCCTCGAAACAGACTCATAGCCTACACAAGTATTTCACACTTGGATTAAAAAAAAAACAATCATTCAACAAAACAGTTTTTGAAGATAGATGGATTTCAAACCGAGCCTTGTTTCGATTTACCTAAATTTCGATGTTAAATTCCGTGTCTGTAAATTATAACTAAGTCAAATTCATTGTTTGATTTTCTAGTATCCTTCACCAAAAGGTATTCTACTTTTAAAAGACATTATCGCCAAAACTGGAATAGTTTTCAATTAAATCTTTTGTTTGTCCCCTAAAGGAAAATAAATTCCTGCTTTATTTTTAACAGAAACGGTTTTTCTTAGACACGAATTGCTTGAAAGCGTTAAAGTTATCGTAACAGAAGTTCGGCAATACAATCTTCTATAAAAAATCCCTGTGTTTTAATATTTATTTACCAGTCATTTTTGATGAAGAATCCCATCTGAATTCGTAGGTGTTATCCTTTGTTATTTGATGCATCTCAGTTCTGCTAACATTCTGTTGAACTCGAGTATTGTTGGTTTGAGTCCACTGAAAAACACTTATGGGTGTCTTAGTAATTTTTGCGTTTTCCAAATCATACGATATTGGCTTGGAAAGCTTGAGTTTTCCTACAGGAAACTAAAATAGAAAAGACAGCATCACAATTACCATTATTGACATCATGATTATCTGTTAAAGAAACTGCATTTTTTTTTACATATGACATACTGCTGTCCACCTTCGGAGATCTACTCGTGTATGATATAAATCTACTGCCCTTGGATGAAGGTTTTAAGATAGATTAACACACGAGGGGACTTCGTCTTGGGTGATATTTTTAATTAAGATAGTTCACTAATAGGCTATTTCCCGAATCATGTCTTTCATCGGAAAAGATCGTCAATTTCGGACGCACTTATGACGTCATTTATCATATAGAAGGCGCGCCTGTATCCCTGCACTATTAAAGTTACAAGCATTTTCAGAATCATCATTCTACAGGGTAGTCTAAAAAAAAATTCATGTTCCGTAAGTACGTAATCTAAATTACCGTACGTGTAAAGTGAGAGTGACTAACTAATTAGATTTTAATTTCCTTAATATTTTGTGCAAAATAGCATCAAACTTTTCCCCCGTTCGCTCTACATGTGTTGGAAGTGACGATGCCTTCATTTTGGCCACGTGGTGATGGAAGCCATATGACAGATTCAACTAACTACCGTATCTCGGAACTGGCGTATAACAACAACAAAACGACGGAAATGATGTTAAAATAAGAATCGGAAAACCTCGGCCGTAGCGGGTGTTAATTGTTCCGGATCGGCAAACTTCGAGCTCAGCGGGTCTTAATTTTAGGCATTAACACCCGTTAATAATATTATCACGTGCTATTGGTGGGCGGGGGTTATGAAAGGTTAGTGAAAATCAACAAATGCTGCGTGTTCAATGAAATGAATGGATGATATAAGAAATTTGCATAAAGTATAATAAACAGCTGCGCCATTAGCGCATGATACGCCCGTCGCATTTTTTCGAATAAAGTTCAATAACTTATCAATTTCATATCAGAAATTTGTGAAAAACTAAAGGGAGGTTATCTTAATTGATATAAACCACTCACCAAAGTTTAATGAAAACTGCTGAAAGCACTTTAAAGATATTGTCTGAAAACTAGAAAATCACCCATTTTTTATGAATAAAATCCCATAACTCGGAAGTGTAAAATCAAAAATTTATAAAAATTGAAAGGGAACTTACATCAAAAGATATAAACCATTCTCCAAAGTTTCATGAGAACTGCTGAAAGCATTTTTGCGTTATTGTCCGAAAACTGGAAAATCCCCCCTTTTTATGAATAAAACTCCATAACTCGGAAACATAAAATCTAAAATTTATAAAATTCAAAAGGGAGCTCATGTCAATAGATATAAACAATTGACCAAAGTTTCTTGCAAATTGGTAAAAGCATTTTTGAGTTATTGTCCGAAAACTGGAAAATCCCCCCTTTTTTAATGAATAAAACCCCATAACTCAGAAACGTAAAATCTTAATTTTATAAAAAACGAAAGGGAACCCACATCAATAGATATGATCAATTCATCAAAGTTTTATGCAAATTGGTTGAAGCGTTTTTGAGTTAATGTCCGACATGTTGACGACGGACGGACAACGGTATACCATAATACGTCCCGTAAACGGGCGTATAAAAATGACATATAACCAAATGAATGTAGACTTAACAAATGATACAATATTTGAATGATTGAATATAGTCTCCTTGTATGTTTTTGTTTGACAATGTTCTATATAATATGTTAAACCAACTATAAAAGATGAGAATTTCAATTATAACGTAATGCTCTGTAAGAATACAGAGAAGCAATATGTGAACAGGTTTATTAACTTTTGCATTTTGTCATTGTCTTCTTTTATAGTTTAAATTCTTTATGACATTATAAAAACTTACGATTTGGATTTTACGCAATGCAGATATACCACCATTACTAGCGAATCCGCCATCACACGGACTGCTATTGGAATCCTCTTCAAAATCTCCTTTTAAGAAGAGTGTCGCCTTGCCTCTATAACCTCTGCCATCATATCCAATCCAACTACATAAAATATCTTATATATATATTTATAAATAAAGGTAGTTACACAGTACTAAATATACATATCTTTCAGAGTTTCAAAATTCCTAATCTGCTGATACATGTGATATGAAACTAAGATTTGTTTCGATCGATAAATGAGCGAAAAAATAATCATCCGCAAAAATACCAATCACAAAGTATGAGAAAAAGTGGTATGATAATAACTTTTATCAATAAATCTCTTAAGCCAATAATACAAATTTAAAGTACAATTCCTACACTTTATTAACCTTTCATTTAAAACTTCTCACTGGTGTAGTTTTCATTGTTATTATCAAAATAATTATCTAAGATACCTGGGACGATCTCATTTCATAAAGAATCTCTTTTGTTTCCTTATTGTACTTGAACTTATTAACCCGGTCTTGTTTTTAAAGTGGAGGTTTTATTTACTAAAAGTTAATCGAGCATGACTAATTAGACACGCCCATTGGAATTTCAAAGTCCTGCGATAGGAATTGATATACACAACAAATACACATCTTATTTACTTACATCTTGAGATGGCCTTTTAGTTCGTTTTCGTGAGTGACGAAATTTTTTTTTTTTGGGGGGGGGGGGATAGCTTTCCTTAACCTTTACGTTGCCATACATATGTGAATGACATTATTATAAATTATACGTAACGTAACGTCAACACATCACATTTATACAAGACCATGAACGTTATCCACGTTAATCAATTTTAAATTACTCATCTCATACATTCGCTGGGAAACTCCAAAATCATCGGGACTTCCCTTAAACTCGAGTACATGTTACCAACCTAGCGTATGTACAGTACTTTTTAATTTTCGGGTGAGAAATCAAAGTTATAGTATTTCTATTTTTTCTAGAATACTTAAAAACGACAATGGAAATAAATAAAGGGTTTAATAAATGATTGCATTTACTAAAGCCCCCGTTGATGAATAGTCGACTTAAAACTTTTCACATCACGACTGAATTCGGGATATATAGCTTTGTGATGATTTACCGGTAACTCTCGAAGTTTTAACTGATTAATTATAAGCGATAAATATAATGACAACTGCGTTCAGCGACAAATCTTTTATACATATTCACATCAGTAAATATTCTTATTTTTGCTAATAAATACTCTGAAATAAATTAACATTATCATTACAATTGTGTGACTTGTCCTTCATTTTAATTTGCCAATTTGGTTTTGAGGAATGTCATTATCTGAAAAGAACAGAAGTAGTGACTCTTTAGCATCAATTTGCTCAGTTTTTTTTAATATAGCCTGAACTAATATTTTTTTAACATCAATTCAATATTTTACATGTCATAGGCCTGGGAAGTTCCATTATTTTGCCAAATGCAAATGTTTCATGCAACATTTTATGTCTGAACTTTATTTTTATCTGTGGTTCAAACTGTCTTGACCCTTCTATGGAGTAAACCGATTTTCACAGATAATAATTAAGTGCATGGTTTGTTATTAAATGAGGCTTGTCGATTGCATCATTTTCTTTTTTACGTTACGGCCATTGACATTGGAAATTTGATTTTAAACCTCTTTTTTATTTGTGTGATTAAGTCAGCTTGCAATGAAGACGAGAAGACAAAACATCTTATCGTGGAGACGCACGCTTTTGGCAAGTTCATTTAGGAAATTCTAGTAAAATCGATATTCACTGGTCAACATGCTTTGGGTTTTCAAATATTTTGACTTTGAGCATCACTGAAGAGACATTGATTGTCGAAATGCGCATCTGGTGCAGAAAAATTGGTACCGTTTATGTTATTACTATTATCTAGTTATCGATGCAATTAAGTATTTGTTATTTGTATATATCATTCTGAGTACTGTTTATCTTTTACTTAAGTTGATTCCGATTTAGATTCGTTCATTCTAGGTGAGTAAGTTTAATGCAAATGACTATTATGTACTCTTCTTGAATTTTGACGTTTTACAAGTCAGTTTGGTGATAAAATAACCAAAAACAGTTGTGACAAGTGTTTTATTTTCAAATTGCCGACAGAAAGAGTCATACCATAATAAACCACCAGCATTTTTGTTTATGAAATTTAGTTTTGGTTAGCCCAATATACAAAAAATATATACTTCATGCTAAAGTTCTTTAATTAACGCTTTAATAGTTAAAATGAATAGTGTATACACCGATCTATATAATTTGGAAAGGAGGTAAGAAATATTTTAAGTTTCTTTTTTGTATATTATAGATACGGAAGGAACTGAACAAACTCATGGACCAAATAAGTGTTCAGTTCGGGATATCTAAAATATATTGCATAACTCATTACAGTTTGTGTTCGAATGGTTCGTTATACTCGTCGTTAAGTTATGCTCAATTTTGCTCAATATATTGACTGTTTGTCAATTTAAGTGAACCCAAACATTGTTCGGGACTTTAATCATCTTTTGTTAATGGTAAGTTTAATATGCCAAAAATGATGGACAACCAAATGTTACTTACCCTCCTTTGCTGACTTTTACAGACGAAACCTGGTGTAAAAATCCATAAAAAGAAAGATCTGAAACATTATTATTTAATGTCGCTGTGTCGCCATTCTTTGTGAAAAGTTTGATTTCTTGGTCTGCATAAAAATCCTATAAAAAATGCTAACATGTCTGTTATTCGACAAAAGCAGAGAAAATAAACAGTTAGAGGGTAAATTCATCCCCAGTTGGCACACTTTATGGTTTACTTTCTTATTTTCGCCCATTTCATAATCCTTCTTCAATAGCGTTTATATGTTTCCGAAAATAGACATACAGAGGTATTCATTTGCCTTAAATTAAGGCGATAGTAGTTTAAATCACGTAAATTCATTAGGAAGAGGTAACAAATAAAACGGACAGAATCGCATAAACTCCGAAAGGAGCTAGACCGGGTGCATAGACATGGCAAGTGTCTCTTGCTATGCATTCATCACCAACCAAGCGAATACAAATTCAGGCAGAATGTCAAAATTGGAAATAAAACAGTAAATTTGCAGACCAGACGACAATAATGATATCTAAATACTTTTGACCTTGAAAACAATATTGCATCGGTCAACAAATTTGTGATGCTGACCGTACATATTATTTAGTGTCGATTAAAATTGTTTGTCCTAATAACTCTGTTGGAGCAGTTTTTGTGTAACGAGCACACCTCGGTTAATGAAGTCCGTATAGTGTGAACATGCACAAACGAAACGTATTAACTGATCTATGTAAAAAAGGGACGAAAGATACCAGAGGGACAGTCAAACTCATAGATCGAAAACAAACTGACAACGCCATGGCCAAAAATAAAAAGACAAACAGACAAATAACAGTACAGATGACACAACATAAAAAACTAAAGACTAAGCAACACGAACCCCACCAAAAACTTGGGGTGATCTCAGGTGATCCGGAAGGGTAAGCAGATCCTACTCCACATGTGGCACCCGTAAACGTAAACGTGTATACATCTATCTATCTTTACATACATATTATAAACGTACATTGTGAGTGTCATCCAGGAGTTTAATTGACCTTGCCATTTTGTTGAACCATCTTAAATATTCTATTTTTTCTCCTTGCATCACCACCCAAATTTTGCCTTTAAAGTCTTTTTCTTGGAACAGCACCCATCTATAATATATTAAAATTAAAAACATCAGTTTGTTTCTTATTGGTTTCGAATTCGTTATTGACAGAACGGTTTGAGTCTTTGAGACGAAAAAAATCACGAGCAAACAGTTAGATATTCTGGTATGACGAATAATTGTGTTGAAGTATATATATATTTACTATCACCGAAATTGTATAGTTATTCAAATTACAGAGTTTAATTATTTTAGAATTATATTCGATCGTGGTGAGGTCTTAGACGATATCAATTCAGTTGATACAAGTTACTTCTGATGACTGTAATGATTTTCTAGTTTCTTTATGTGACCTAGTGATCTAAATAATATATAACCCCTAAACAGTGCTATCAAACCTGTCAACACAGAGATTTTGAATTCGATTCCCGACTTGGATTGTCAGTTTTCCATGTAAATGTCGGTGGTTCTTCCTGGATATTCTGGTACCCCGATCAATTGGATATGGTCTACATGATTTAGGCAATTCTTTCGAAAGTGGCGTAAAGCACAATAATCAATTCAACTACTTGATTGATTACTTGTCCTGATATTCCGAACAATCAAATTATCTGTCATAAATGAATCAATATACAAGGCTAAATAAGACATACGAGTTCACGAAGGCTGAGTTTGCTATTTTATAAGCAAAACGACATGTATTAGATGCAAAATACCACACAGAAACAAGCAAAAAATAAATAAATAAAAAAGTGCAATCTAATATTGTTGAAACGTGATCCATATAGAAAGTCTAATCATACAAATAAAAAAAGGAAAATTCAAATAAAAAAAAACATAGTAAACTTATTAAATGGATTCAATAAATCAGGTCTTGAATTCATTTGTTGTAATAATAAACGGTCTTTCTTAAGTCCCAAAAATATATTGAAATTATTGATCCTGGACATGTGCAAACATGCCATAGCCTTGTAGGATGATTTATTTATTCGTAACTACAAACATTTAAATCATCATATCATTGGAATAACCAGTACCATTTCACTTGAAAAATTATACCAAATGTGATTTATGAATGAAGAGCCAAGTAGTACACACTTTTAGATTTGTTATTCTGTTGAAAACACAAAGTTATATTATAACCTATCTATAATTCAACTTTTACTCATGGCAATAGGAGATGCAAATTATATGAAATGTACTATGAAAAGTCAGAAACTCAATAATCTTAACTACATTCCATTGTAATTGGCAGGTGAATTTTCTTTCTTAATCAGACAGTATGAGGAGAATAATTATCCATTTCATCCGAAATTTTGGTAAAAAACAAAATTTACAATGTTTAATTTTTTTTCGATGAATCTCGATTGTCATAAATTGCATGACTGGCATATAAATGGTTACTTAACAAT